TTTCCCGGGTGGACCTATAGTTTTGGCCAGCACTGTATAGAGCTGAGCATACAGTGCGATTCTTGAATCTGGGTTCAAATGACAAATGCCCACATCGATAGCTCCTTGCACAATAAGTGGTCTTTGTCCAGCAGGGACTTGGAATTCTCTTAAATGCATGCTAAGACCTGCAAACGCAACGAGATTGTTTATAGCACGAAGCATGCAATACAACTTTTCGTCCTCTTGTGCTTGAATCCAAAGCCAACCCAAAAGGATCTTTTCTAGGTGAAAATATCTTATTAGGTACCATACAAGTACCGCCATTACAACATAGAGATTTGATCTCGCCTTTGAATGAAAAAGCCCCACAGTACTGGCAAACCTTATCCATAGCCCCCAAATGCAATGCTACTTTTACACCGTCGATTGTTTCATAGTCAGATTCTTCGTCAGTGAACTCTACCAACGGAAGCAACGTGTCGTCTACATTTTCTGTATTTACAGATGGGATACTACCTCCACAAAATGTAACGTCAAAAAGTCGTTTGCTAAACTGGCGTAAACCACGCTGAGAAAGCTCGGTAGTACCGTGACTTACACAATAACCAACAGCTAAAGCAAATTCACTTCGGTGAGTGAATACAAATGGAGACTGAGCAAAGACATTGAACCGGCAATCGACATGCCCATGCAATTCCGCCGTATGAGTTAAGAAATCTAGAGAAGAACAGTGATTAGCTCTAGAACCAAATTCGAAAATTACACCGGTGCTTCTCCGCCGATGTTTCTTAACAAGTGCACCGCAAAAATCACCAATTTCGTTGATATATAGGATGACGAGCGTTGTTTTATTGAATGAATCACAACGCCGGGCGTTTTCTTGAAGAGAATCAAGTGTAGTCATCAACGTGTCCACGAAAAGCACGCTTTCTTTGTGGGAAAAATATTGATGAAGATACATTTCAACAACAACATTCTGAATAGTACCGCATGAATACAGAGTGGGTACCATAGTAACAACGTCAGCAACACCTTCTCCATGTCTTTCAAGAGCCTCCGCGCTAATGGGAACGTTACAAAGATCTTTGCAAGTGTAAAGTTGATAAACATAACAGCTCACTGCAAGAGCAGCAGTTATTCTACACTGTATCTTTGGGACACATGAACCACACATGCGAATTGTGCTGTTATTGAAATTATGAATTTTTGCAACCGTACGCAAATGTGTACGTGTATGAACATCTAGTATATTGAGCTGAAAATCAACAACTATCCCTACAGGTCGTTGCTTTTGCCTTTCAAAAACTGCAGCAGAAACGTAGCCATTACGGTTATAATAAAAAACAATCAGTATAGAGTTTTCCCTACCATTTGACCGTGGAGCATGTACACTTGCATAAGATGATAAAAAAGCGCAATCACCTAAATCCATCCTTACCACAGTAATGTCTGGTTTTTTGCACGACACAATCTGATGATAAAGAATCAATTCTTCGATTGTGGCAGCACGCAAATTGTTGGACGACTGGGTGGAATAATTATTTCGGAATTTTTGCTTTGAATGTCGATTTTAGTCAGTTTTCCAGGGACAGAAATTTCACTTGCATCTACATTATTGAGGTGTTCGTCACTAACATTTTCTACAAATGAAAGCGTACACTGTTTTTCAAGAGTTTGCTCATAAATACGAGGTAGAGGAACGCTACCGCTTGCATCAGCTTCATCAACTACATAGCACGATCTAAGTCGGCTGTCGATCAAATTTCGAACAGAACGAAGAAATGATCGTGTAGCGACCTCAGATTTGGTTGCAATATTATTCGCAAGACGATCAGCATACAAGCATGTGAAAACTCCGCAGCTAGAGTGATCAACCTGCGAATGAACATGTTCGTTACCAGCTATTACTATTTGCTCCAATGGTATATCCGTGATTTTCTTCCAAAGGCTACGAGCGGCTGGTTCGTTGTTTTCAAAATAGTTGCTGGAGTAATTATATTTGTATGCAAGAGAATCATACACATGAGCAATACGCATTGGAAAATCAAAAACTCCCAATGCCCAGTGGGTACCACCAAGCAAATGCAAAGCAACAAAACACTTCCCGTCTCGCACGGGATATTCCCGGATTCGGAAAGCCTCATTCGTTTGAACCAGTAATGGGTCCATGACAATTATATTGGTGTTTCGTGTCACATAGAGGAGATATGCATAAATGACTTCATCTCCTAACCATTCATCATTTCTCAGTTGCTGTACTGCAGATGGAAAAAGTTGACAATCAACGATAGTGTACTTACGAGAAAGTTTGGCTCTGATGTTCGAAAAATTTTCAACCTAAAATATACACTTCAAGCAAAAAACGATTATATTTCACTCAGCATCTGATAAATTCGTTTTGATATGGAAGATTGCAAGTCAGATTCATATTCATGAAAAGTGGCAAAATGTGCATTTCCGACTATTCCTGATGGAGAATTTTGGATTACGACAGAACACAGGAGATTTGGAAATTGCGTGATGCTAATTTTTCTTTGTTTCTACCCACGTAACTGCTCCCAAAGACATCAATATATAATTAATAGATAGGAGTGCATCTTAAAAATGCAGACAAAATCAAACTATTTGGTCAGTTAAACCAGACGATATACAGGGTGTCCCATAACTATGTATACACCGTTTGGTAGTTATTATCTATCTTCTTAAAATGTCCATCTACCTTCAGGTACCATATTTTATAGAAATGGCTTCAGCTTAGATTTACAATGTAGAGCGAATCCGCCATAGCTCTCCATTACTGTAGGATTA